GGCCAATAGCAGTACAGCGTAGGGTTGGAGAAAAAAAAATCCGCAAACATGCATGCATATTAAAAAAAAACAACACAAGGGGAGGAAAATGATGTTGTTGGTACTGCCGCGATTAGGGGCCGTCCATAAATGACGTCACGCGATTTTGGACGATTTTTGACCCCCCCCCCCCCCTTCGTCACACGGCGTCACAAAAAGTCACACCCCCCCTCAAATATGACGTCACAAAGCTCTGCCCCCCCCCCCCCAAATATAAAACATACTTCAAATCGCTTTAAACTATTGTCATTGTAGTGCGTATTTAATGTGGCGCTGCACTCTGATGTTGTAGGAGAAAACATTTATTTAAAACATCTATTTAATTAAGTAGAACGTGTTGTCTGTATTAATTTAAAGTTGCGCATTTTCATGTGACGTCACATTTCTCCGCCCCCCCCCCTCGTCACACATCGTCACAAATGTCTGACCCCCCCCCCAGATGCGTGACGTCATTTATGGACGGCCCCTAAATTGTAAGGCTAAGATTAATATTTTAATACATGCAAAAAAGATGTTGATAAGAAACAAATATACGGATGTGTTTAACACTTTGCAAACTGATGCATTTGCGTCACATTATGAACGAAATGTTTGGCGTGTCAGTGAAATTACCCTTGTCTAGATGGTCCCACTGGTGCTGTCATTGTACCAGTGGTGGGTGATGTGTTTTTACATATTTCTTGTTGCTGTATATTACAGATTTCTGCTTGATTTTTACGAAATTCTGCTTGCTGTATCGTCTGGCTTCAGGGGTTTTGAATCGCTGTGCTCTGAAGGGATCCCGCAACGAGTGGATTATTCGATTTCTGCGACATTTACCAATTTTTTTAAATACGAAACTTGACAATGACACACAACTTGCTGACTCTTGAAAATAATATTACAAAGCTTTTGTTTTTTACTTCTGCTTTTAATTAGGTAATGTTTAACTATAGTCATTATCTATAGAGATTGGTGGGTGGTTGTGATCGTGGTTATATTTTCCATTTCTGCGGGACTTACATTTTCTCAAATTGGCACGGTGTTGAGTGCACTGACCATGACTCTATAACAGCTGTCATAAAGTGAACAATTACACATTATGCCTGTGTTTGAGGAAACATTCGCCAGTGTTTGTTCTGTGACCACTACCAAAATAGTGTCAGCGTTTAATAATGTACATTATTACTTTCCATTGTGTTGCAGGTATCATGGAAACACATGTTTTGATGGCATGACACATGTTAAAAATGTAAAACAGGTTATCACTTAATGCACTGTAATGAAGTTACACTGCATGTGCTTTTTTACTCAAACACCACACATCACCTACAAAGTGAACAACCTTCTCACACAAAACACATCGCTCCCTTTAAAACAACAGCACACATTTCATTCCGTCCCTCTTGATCTCATTTATATTATCTTAAATGTTGTATTTCCCAGTCACCTTTGTATGATGCTTTGTGCTGATGGAATTGGCTGTTCACTGTTAAAACAAAGTTCAGCCTTGTTGTTGAGACGCAGAAGGTGAAATCGGTCCACAGTTTTCATGTTTAAGCAATTGGAGAACTTTCACTGTACAGAGTCCTGTCACGTTGATGGAGTGCTCTTGGCAATAACGACATAAGTTCAGAGATTCATTTGCTCGAACAAAGGCTGCTAGTTCCAGACGGGCAATGAGTTAAATGGACTAAAAATATTTGTTTTGTAGACAGTCTGTTTATTTATCTTTCAAAGATAATTTTCGCGGCATAGCTTCCAAACATTCAGTAAAAAAACAGGAGGAGTTCGGGTCATGTCCCAAACTGCGCGTTCAGAACACAACATCACCTTTGCATTCAATTCAAGGTCCTCCTCACATTCAAGGCCCTGAATTATCTTACACCTCCATATATTTGGGAGTTGTTGCTGAGTCCCTGCGTTCCAACAAGAACTATGAGGTCTAAACTAAAACTAAACTAAACATTGTATTTTACCAGGTAAGGCCCACTAAGCTACCAAACTCATTTTCAGAAGCGACCTAGCTATCACAAATGATAGTTCTACGAAGTGGCTTAACATGTGGACATTTATAGCAGCCAAATATTTCGAATTAAAGCTTTCGTGACTGCAGGGATTCATCTTCTTGGTTCTTACGGTAAAGTCACGTAGAAGGGAAATAATAAAATAATAAAAATAAAACATAAAAAAATATTTTATTATTTGACATTTTTTTTTATTATGTTTTATTTTATTTATTTAATTATTTCCCTTCTACGTGACTTTACCGAAAGAATCAAGAAGCAGCCAAATACTCCAAATGCACGTTTTTATAACGTGGAGGTGAAAACCAGAAGTCTCGGGAAAAAATCCACGCGACCAAGAGAAGAACATGAAAACTCCAAATATACAGGCATGAGGGTCGGGATCTAACCCACGACCTCTTCCATATCAGGCGATGTAATTAACATCTCGCTTCTGTGGTACCCGGACTGTGGAACTCTCTGCCGACGCCTAAAAACATTTCTCGTTCAGAGCACCTTTCTATTTTAACTTTAAAAAAGGTTGAAATGTGCATCTTTCGCAGCCATTTTCTATCCACAGCTGGCTGAAGAATTGTAATTCTGATGTTACATCCTCTAGTACAGGGGTCGGCAACCTACGGCTCCGGAGCCGCATGCGGCTCTTTACGGGCTGCTTCTTGACGATATGTACAGTATGTACAGTATGTACTCAGATGCATTGCGGCTCTTGAAATACTGAATTTTGTACCGAATTGGAAAGAAATGGCTCTTCTTGTTATTTTGGTTGCCAACCCCTGCTCTAGTATGATGCAGCTGAGCTTGATCATTACGGGTATGGGTGCGTTATAATAATCGCCAACCATAAGGGGGGTGTAACTCGGCTAAAGGTCAGAGGCGGGGATCAGTCTGGAAGCTCCTGGAACCTGCAGGAGAGTTCTAGAAGGGGGCGTGGCCAGAGGCGGGGCTTGGCCACACCGAGGAGTATAAAAGGGGTGACGCAACCGGAGGTTCGGGGCTTTCGTGGTGGTTCGGTTCCTGGCTGCCGTCGCTGTCTTCGCCGTCATCTCTTCTTCATCGTCCGGCCGCATGGCCGATCCGCTGTACGGTTCCCATCGTCGTCGTCGCTGTATCAGTCAGCCAGCTATATAGTTAGACGCCGGTGATGGGGCTGTATGAGTGGATCATCTATACGTAGCCCAGTGTATATGTCACTCAGCGATTCTGCCTGTAAAGTGTGAGAAATAAACAAGGAGCCCTCTACACGTTGTGTCTCGGAAGTTGCTCACTAAACATGTCAAGGCAAAAGTTTTTCTGCCTGATGAAATTAGTATAGCAGGGCTGTGCTCAACCCCATTGGCAGCCTTGAGCCACTGATTTAAATACCAGCGGTGCGCATTCCACATTCTTCTGGCAGGAGCCAGTCTAACCATAGGACAACCACTGTTGACAAAGTGGTGTTTATTTTATCGACCCTGGAGGGTATGTTGGGCTGAGTCGACCCCAAACGGCGATTTCAATGCGCATCCTTCGAGTTGTGGGAGACACACATGTGCAGTGCAGTGACTTCTTTGGGGAGTGGTGGGTGTAGAAATGTAGCTACTATCAGTGAGACACCCGCTTACAAGTCGGTGTTTGATAGGTTATAGGTTGTAGGCTATCTGGGAATGTTTTGAGTGTTCAATCTAACACGTAATGGGCTTTCGCGACCAATATTATCCATAATAGAGGTTTTTGTGGTAGATCGCCTAAATATAAATGTGTCGTTAAACCCGCCACCACCCGACACAGCCAATTTACTACTATAATGAGCGAATAATGTCTGTGTATCCCGCACGTGACGTCACTCCACGTCGGCCAGCCCCCCTTATTAATACTCATGAACAGGTGACGTCCTCTACATGGACCCCCCCCCCTCATTAATAATCATGAGCGGGTGACGTCACTCCACATCGAACAGCCACCCACATTAATAATCATGAAGAGGTGACATCTTCCAAATAGAAACCCCAACATTAATATTAATTTGTGGGTGACGTCACTCCACATAAGTGGGGGGGGGGGGGGGGGGCGAGGCGCCTCCTCCCCCCTCCTCAGCGTCAACTTATAACCCTCACTACAAAGGCAGAACCCTCACGTCACGCGATCTCCGCTATTGAGACATCAAAGTAAAACGAATGTCACGATGAACACGGGATTATACCCTTTAAATGAAATATGTCTGTGTCACCACGGCCTTACAAAATGCACACGAATGGATGCAATGAATGTCACGTCGCGGTCTGCTTTTCGCTTGCAAGTTTCAGATTTACTGCAATACACCCATCCTTGGACGGGCAAAAGGCGAGTTAGTAAGGTTTGTCACGTAAACAAAAAGTGCCAATTCGTTACTAGTACAGCACACCGGTGTGTTGGAGAGTAAACCCACAAAATGTACAATTCGCGTACGACATTTCGCCAGTAATTACAACTAGCATCATCAACAGTCAAGAGTTTTGTTTTCTTGGGTGTTCTATTTGTGTGAATTATTTCATGATATTTAGTTTTCTTCCCATGCATTAAAATAATATAAAAAAGGAACCGGATAACGATTAAACTTTCTCAATAGAATTCCGATGTTCGGTTATTGTTTTCAATACGTATCGATGTATATTAGGTGCATCAAACGACGTGTTTTAATCGAGCAAACGGAACCCCGCGCGCCAGAATTTCATCGATGGGAAAGGCGCGTGCTCAGAATGTGGATCATTGCAAACGCAAACAAAAGAGGAATGCGCTCGGCACAAGTGACGTTTTAACAATGCCCACCACATAGGTAATAGCACTACGACTGTACGTGCGACCTCGCGGGGCGACGCTTTATTACCGGGTCATTGTATAACGCAGTGAAGTGGCTCCCTTGCAGGCATGGCACGGGATTTGTCGCTGGTAATTGACAAGGTAAGAGAGGGGTAGGGGGGGAAGAGGGTTTCGATGCTTTCATTCATGGGGCGGGACGATTGTGGGCTGGTACCAGCGGTGGTGCGATGGGAGGGGGAGTTGAGGGAGGAAGGGAGAGGGGGGCAGGACGAGAAGCAGCAAACACAAACCACTGGGGCAAGTTAAAACCTTGGCCGTCACGGCTGCTGGCTCACTCACACTGCTGCTGCTTGCTTGCTGCTGACTGCAGTCTTTCTAACGGTGCCGTTGTGTGTGTGTGTGGTGGTGGTGTGTGTGGGTGGTGGTGTGTGGTAGTGGTGTGTGGTGGTGGTGGTGGCGTCGGGGTCAAGCGAGCGGACCGCACCAATTTCTTCCGGCTCTAGCGAACGTCGGACCGTGACTTTGTCTCTTCATCTTCTCCGGCTTGCAGGGCTGCCTTGCCGTTGCAAACATCTCCGATGGTGTACGCGATGGTGAGTGAGATGGCGTGCTTGGTGAAGGGAGGCTTGTGGGTTTGGGTGCGATCGAACACTGGACCCGTATAACTCTGCGCGGGTTATTGCTCACGCGTATTGCCCCGCCTGTCCTGTGTCTCACCAAGTGACCCCATGTGGACGTGGTTTGCGCGTGTGTTTTCGCTAACAGCACTCAACGCAAGAGTCTTCCGTGGGCAATGCTGGGGGATCTTTGTCTTTGTGTACACATGCTGTAGACTCCACGAGTAGAAAACACATTTTGTGTGTAGTCGTATTGTTGTTTTTTTACACCTGTACATATGTACTGTAATGCCAATTTGTTGGTTATTTGTTTGAATGAGCGTGTGCAAATTGCTGTTCCTTTTGATGCTGTCTTGGCATTATTGTAGTGCAGCAATTTCAGCTGAAATGTCTGTTTTATGAAATCTCTTAACTCTATTCTCATAATAATAAAAATAAAACATAACAAAACAATTCTCACGACGTTTCGGCCACAACGCAAGCAGCCGTCCTCAGGCGAAGAATGAAGCACCACCAAGCTTGGAGCGTATATTTAAGCTTGGTGGTGCTTCATTCTTCGCCTGAGGACGGCTGCTTGCGTTGTGGCCGAAACGTCGTGAGAATTGTTTTGTTATGTTTTATTTTTATTATTTTGTTACTTCCCTTCTACGTGACTTTACCGAAAGAACCAAGAAGATGAATCCCTGCAGTCACGAAAGCTTTAAATCGAAATCTATTCTCATATTTCTATGATGTTGTACGTTGTCACTACTGGAATATGCATACTTTGCTTTTGGCTGTGCATTAGGTGTTGCGCTCTTAAGTACGGTACATCATATAATACACACACACACGTGCAAAACACACATGTAACGCATGTGCATTCATCCACTGCTGGATGAGGGCCTCTCCACACCGTTGCAGATCGTGGGGATTATTTTGACCATACTTCACCATTCTGTTTCGATTTAAAGCTTTCGTGACTGCAGGGATTCATATTCTTGGTTCTTTCGGTAAAGTCACGTTGAAGGGAAATAATAAAAATAAAACATTATAAAATTCTCACGTTTCGGCTGCTTGCGTTGTGGCCGAAACGTCGTGAGAATTTTATTATGTTTAATTTTATTATTTCCCTTCTACGTGACTTTACCGAAAGAACCAAGAAGATTTATTCACAATTATAGTCAACGAAGGCAGGGAGTGTAGATGCGAGAGCATGGACGTACTGTATCTTCGCTCTATTGCCGTCCGCTGCCCCGCAGCCTATAGCAACCTGTTATGCATGGCAATCGCCTGTCCCGAGAACGATGCACCACGGACAGCATATTCCAGGTGATTTGGTCCTGGGACTGCATGCACATACTGTACAGCTCTAAACACGCGGAAGCATTTAGCTTCGCGTTATAGCGCTTCGGGCATGTGCTAACAAAGCAGCATCTCTCCCTGCAGCTTATGTTGGGATGTTTTATTTTTATTTTTTGCGCTAAAGCCAGCAAATATGCCAACGTTGAGGAAACGTTGGCATCCGTCATGCGGTTGAAACCCGTTGGACAAACAACGTTGCCCAGATGTGTGGGCCAACGATCCGTGTTGATTGTGAGGATGCCCTCTCTGCGGCTGCTGATGCCAAGAGTGTCAGGATTGTGTACGCAGGTTGCGTGGACGACATCCAGAATCAGAGACACCAGGCATCACGCAGCGCCTATATTAATTGGAGCATTATTGCCGTTACCTTTCCCCACCGAATGGCGCAGTGAAGTGGAATCCTAACGTGATAGATACAGTGTCACGGCTGTGAGGATGCCCGCTGTATATATTTTTAGTTTTCAATTTAATTAAAAACAATTACCTTCAGTTTTTTGTATTGTACAACTTTTTAAATCCATGCAGAGATAGAAGGTAAGTGGATTTTTTTTTAGTGAGGTCAAATTTACACCACTGTAATGAAAATCTGATGCCAGGACTTAATGCCTGAAATATCACTTTGTAGGTAGTGGCAGTGTAGTGGTCAGTAGACTGCGTTCAGAACCGGGCAAACTGAGTTCAATTCCTGGCCACAGCCGACATCAGTGGTGAGGAAATTTGAATTGGGCCTGGGACTTCCCTTCCGTCAGATTAAACGAATATCCCGTGTACGTGTGTACCACAATCAACACCGGAGGGACGGAGGGTAGACACATGTGGGTTTGGCCACATCTAGCTACCCTTCATCGATCCGGCTTCAGTAGATCCTCGCCAACAGTGTTCTAGATGAATGAGATATTAACGACACCAGAATCAAGTCTGGTTCGAGATGTACGAGACAAAGGGTAGCCAGGTGTGGTTCTGTCCACACCGCCCCCTTGTTTATCGAGCCAGCCTCAATAGATTCTCGCCAACAGTGTTCTAGATGCATGAGAGATTAACAACACCACACTCAAGTCTCAGCTTTAATGTTTAGCGCCAATGAAGGCATGCAACACGACGACAGCTATAGCAACCTGTTATGCATGTGAGCAAGTATTGCGATTTCTTTCGCCCCAAAATGGCAGGATCTACATGCATGGTGGGTGGGCATGCAAAATTTATGTTGATTGCCCCATGAATAACCCAACCGGTAATGAATATCTATTGTAATTCATAGCGTACATTAACCCCCCCTCTAGCCTTTGCACCTGCTTGGCTCGCAAGTGACGACATCACATCCCTCTATTTAAGACACAAACTGGAGAATTTCTCCACAACTCTGGCTGTCGCCTGATGAGGCTGGTTGTAATTACTGGCGAAACGTCATGGTACTGAAAATGTAAATGTTGTGGCTTTACTCTGCAAAACACACTGGTGTGCTAAACTAGTAACGAATTGGCATGTTTTGTTTACGTGACAAACCTTACTAATTGGCTGTGCCAGGTGGTGGTGGGTTAACGACACGTTCATATTCATGCGATCTGACCAAAAAACATCTTATGAACGATGACAATCTTATAATACCTTGACGTGATATGACTTCCTGAAACATCTCCCCTTTTTCAAATGAACACAACCATTTAAATTAAAACAACGGATCAAACAGTCACTAAACAAACATTTCGAAGATTTCAGGACAAGTCAACTTTTCGAGAACAATTCCTATTAAACAGTCGAATTTAGCACTCAATGAAATGTCCTTCCTACGAAGTCCAACGTGATGAGTTCTTAGAGATCAAGCCACTCCGGTGGCTCTGAAAGTTGTCCGCTACGCGAATAAACAGGACACCTTTGTGCGGCCGTTGATGGGCTGGCTGCCAGAATCTCTCCAGGTTGGCAGACTGGGCGCTCGGATGCTGACCGGTGTGGTCGCTTCCTCGTGGTTACCGCTCTCCGGCAAGTCTGCTGAAAATCCTCCGCTCTCCCGGCTTGGCACGGGTCCCGCGTGCCACCTCCGCTGGCCTCGTGCACGTGGCCTGGCTCACAAAAGTCCTGCATAGCTGGCCCCTCTGCCATGCGCAGAGCGACCCGGTCGTGACGGTGGAGAGCTCCGTCGACATCCGCAAGGTACGAGTGCAGTGCAGCTCTCCTCACACAGCCACCCAGTTTCCAACGGCCTGTTCTATCTCTGGGCGGTGACTTCGTGCAGATGGGATCACCAATATTTAGCTCAGGTAGGTCTTTGGCAGATATATTGTATGCTGCTTTGGCAGTTTGCTTCCTCTGCTGTGGCTTCTCTGGTACCATCTGGTACCACACCACACAGGGGTCGTGAAATTTGTTAGCCACTGGTAACGATGTCTTCAGCCCCCTAGACGACAGGTGCTCTGCTAGGCTGCTATGGATTCCTTCTGTTGGCGCGTTCTTCCAATGAAAGATGGCTTTCCATGGGTCTTCACCCTCACTGTAAGTTTTATTGCTCTCAGGCTCTTCACTATCTCGACCGCGGTTTCAGCTGTGCCATTTGCCTGCGGGTGGTGTGGGGATGAGGTGACGGTGCTCAAACTCTCATTCCATGGCACGCAACTTGGGGTCCATTGTCCGTGATTTACTCGCTCCGGCTGGCAGCGGCACTCCGACTGCGCCGCGCCTTGCCCCGCTTAACCGTCGTCTCGACAGACAAGTCCGGCAGCAACTTAATTTCCCAGAAGTCTGTGGTGGTGGTTGACAGTTGGCAGATAATCTCAGCTGACGTCATTGAATGACTCAATGCTGACGATCTGCCAGAACCGTGTTGGTATCCCGTGCGACATCGTGTTTCTTTCTGCTGCACATGTGCATACTTGATGCAGGTTAGAACAGTTTCTGGAAAAGTCTGTGATCTCACCTTGCGTGTTTGGCCAGCACAGGGTGTCCCGTGCCCACCTTTAGCATGCGTCTCCAACCTGGCTCAAATGTATACGTGCTCAAGTCTCTGGCCGCAGTGACTTGTGTATGCTAATTCTTTGTACAGAATCCCAATCTGTATGGTTATTTGTCTCAGAAGAACCAATATTTTCTGAAAACGAGGCGTGTCATCTATTGCCCCTGGCCATCAATTCAGAACAACGGACTTCAGTGCTTTCAGACCTTCACCTCTCGCAGTGTGCCGCACGATCTGGCAAAGCCGCCGGTTTCTTGACATTCACGTGCTCCGCCTGATTGATCAACGCCCTGTCATTTCGCTCTTGCTGTGTGCTTCAAATTGTGTGTGGCTCACACACGTCTATGGACATCCCGTCTGCTCCTGTTGTTCTGCTGAGCATGTGTCGCTGATGTAGATCTCCGGGCCTGGTTTGTAGACAATTGCTGGCCGGTGACCACTATACGTTGGCATTGCTTTTCAGTCTTTGCATAGTTCTGTTCAGTTGGGGTCAGTGCCCTTGATGGGAAAGCGATGGGCTGTTCTTCTTCAATAAGTCAGCATCCAAGGCCACTGTGCTTGAGTCGCTCTTTATTGTGACGGGCTTTGTAGGATTGTAGTGCTTTAACACTGGCATAACTGTGACCAGGTGCTTCATTTCCTGCGCTGCTTTATCATGCTACGGAAGCCAGTGCCAGACTGCATCCTTGTCCAGGAGCCTTCTCAACGGGTTCACGCACCTCTGGAGAGGTGTGGCATGAACTTGGCTAGGTAGTTCACGAACTCAATGAATCGCTGCACTAATTTCACATAAATGGGTTCTGGCATCTCCACACTAGCTCTGATATTGTCCAGGTCAGCTTTCAAGCCTTATGAGGACAGAATGTGTCCAGGAAAGTTGACTTCCTTCACCGCGAATTGCAGCTCGTTCATGCTCAGCTTTAGCATCGCTTGCCTGCCTCGATCATTGAGTGTTTGGAGCTCATTATCGTAGTCACACTCTGCTTCATCGTCCATATCCCTGCATCCAATAGTGAGAATGTCATCTGCTATTGGCGCCATGGTGGCGAGATGTTAAATACTTTGCCTGTTATACAGGAGGTCGTGGGTTTGATCCTGACCCTTACACCTATATATTTGGAGTTTGCATGTCCTCCTCATGGTCGTGTGGATTTTTCTTCGGGTTCACCAGTTTTCCCCTCCACATTTAGAATCAACATGCGATTAGAGTATTTGGCTGCTATACATTTCCACACGATAAGCCACTTTGTGGAGCTGTCATTTTTGGCCAGGTCGCTTCTGAAAAAGAGTTACATAGCTCAGTGGGCCTTACCTGGTAAAATATTGGCATAACTCTGCTGAACCCAGCCAAGAGCTCATGCTGCTTGCGCTGATACACTACCCCTGGTTGCACGGAGACACCAAACAGTAGTTTGGAGTCATCGCTTCCTGCCCTAGGGGGTCAAGAAGGTTGTTTTGCAGCTTAATTTGCGTCTCTTCATCTCATTTGCATTTCAAGAATGCTTCACGTGCGTCAACAAGCATGAACACTGTGCTTTGGGTAGCTTTGTACAACACGTCTTCGTGTTTTGGGGATGATGTCATGAGATCTCCGCGGTGTTTGGTTCAGGCACTTCAGATCTCAACAGATCCGCAGCTTTTCTGGCTTGTTCACAATCATCATGTTTAACCAGTCGGTTAGCTCTTTCACCGATGTGATGTGGCCATCCGATGTGATGTGGCCATCGTGCTTGTCCAGCTGTGCCTTTACCTCTGGCTTGACGGCAATTGGCACTCTGCACGGGGCACATTCTACATGGTGGAATGCTTGGATCGAGTTCAATATGGACATCCCCTGGAATGGATTCCATTGGCCTACTGAACACATCTTCACAGGCACTGATCAGCTGCTGATGGTCAGGGGCCCATTTCCCTGGTTATCCACCTTGTTCGGCTCAACTGGGATGGTGAACCGGATGAGTTCCAGGTGCTCGCATGTTGAACCAGGCAGCGGCGGTTTCTGATTGACTTCTATGATTTCAAACTCAGGCATTCTACATTTATCCACGTATGAGACACTCTGTCTTGAAAAGGCCCAAGGACTTTGTCAGCTCTGCGGAGTAAAGTTTCAGTTTGGTATCACTTAGCCGTATCTGAGTCTTGAGTGCGAGCTTCAATTTGTCTTTCAGACTCATTCCATCACATGTTGCCTCAGAGTCCAGTTGGAATACTTGTAGCTTCTAGGTCAGAATGAGGTTCACAAACAATTTCTGGCCCCTTGGATGTTTAGTGGTGCTGCATTCTTATGATCTCCTGGTCCGTGGTGTGCAATGAACAGCACTTGCCCCACCAGTCTGTTAAAGGCTACATGGGAGATCTTTATCATTGTAACATCACTTACACCTACACGCTTACATAGCTAACAAATGGGGGCCTACAATCTTTGTTGTGAATGGCAGATCATTGTATTTGTGAGTATGTGTATATGCATATATATATGTCTATGTAGGTATGCAGCACTTACCTAGTCTGTAGGGCTGAGCCAGGAGTCTGTGTGTGGTGGCAATAGTGACCACAGTGATATCCATGCAACCCAAACTATGGGCCATGTAGTAAACCATTGGAGTCTGTGCTCCTTTAACAGAGGAATATCAAAACTACACCAACTCTCTCCTATAGGCCACCCATGGCTAAGAGACCTCAACATTGGCATTTAGGTCCTGCACATATTACCATATGCAAGAATAGAATAGAGCTGTGATTAGTGTACTCTACTACAATCATGATAGAGTACGCTATGAATATCGGTGGCATGTGGCATCTCATCCTGTCCCTGGTCTCCCCTAGGCTGACTCAGTGTGTTCCATTTCTTTCAGGAAGATCCTCAAGTTTCAGCAGGATGGTCTTCAGGAAACACCTTCCTCTGTATTCTGCCAAGATGGCTCTATGATTAAAAGGTAAGGTATTCTGCTCCTCTTATCGAATGAAATTCAGTTTTTGACTTAAACGAAACTAAAACAATTTTTTAGGAAGCATTTTTTTCTATCTTCCCAGATAAGGCCCACTGGGCTATGTAGTTATTTTTCAGAAGCGACCTGGCTGTCACAAATGATAGTTCAACGAAGTGGCTTATCATCACGTGAAAATGTATCACAGCCAAATACTCGAAATCAGTGGTTTTTAACCTTTACTACAGCCTTGCATCCCTTTCATTCTCAATCCTGAAACAACAATGTATGGTAATAATATACAGGGTTTGATGAAACATAGTTGTACTTATGTGCCCGTGCTTAATTTGTGTGGCAACATCTACAACCAGACTGCTTAGAGACCTGGGAATTAAGGGCCAGAGCCAGCGTTCGGCAATCAAAGCTGTATCGGAGGCGGCAGAAGGCAGCAGTCAGTGGCTCTGGATGAAGAGGAAAGACCCCAGCTGGGCCCCAAAGTGAGAGGGCCAGGAGGTATGCAGTCAACAATGCTTGACTCAGGGAGGAGGACGCCCCTGCCATGCATAGTCCCATGGGATGTTGGCTACCAACAACAAGGCAACTCCTATGACTAATTGGGAATGGGACGCAAGCGTAGGATTGATCACCCTGTCGCTGGCCGCCTTTGGGGAGGGTGTATAGTATGAAAGGCCGAAACACCCTAGGACCCAAAGGTTCACTACTGACGATGCGCTCCCCAAATTTCACCAGGCTCACTGTTCATGAACTCTTGGAAGTGCTTGCACAAAGGATAATAACATCTCATCCTGTGTTCTTTGGAATCTGAATATGTGTTGTGATGATTTACCTTTTTAATAAATTTTGCCATGTCTCGCATCCCCATGGGGTGTGTGCACCCCAAATTAAGAACCACTGCTCTAAATGCACGTGGATTCTAAATGTGGAGGGAAAAACCGGAGGAACTGGAGAAGAATCCACACGACCATGAGTACATGCAAACTCCAAATACGTGTATACAGGCGTCAGGGTCGGGCTCAAACTCCTTCATACCAGGCGAGGTAGTTAATATCTCGCCAACATCGTTTGGTAAAAGTTACACTTCGATTTAAAGCTTTCGTGACTGCAGGGATTCATATTCTTGGTTCTTACTTCCCTTCTACGTGACTTTACCGAAAGAACCAAGAAAATAAAAAGTTACACTGTTTAATAAGTAAAGCTAAAAGTAAGTTTACTGTCACTGAGCAATGCGTGGAGGGATAGTTACGTTAAAAAGTGTGCATTATAAATGAAGACCTTTAGGATAGAAAGGTATTTCCTCGGTTGAACAATGTGTTCGAATTGTTTATGGGCAAGACTTGGAATACCACTTGGGCAAGAAGTCAACCGTATTTGTTTTTTCTGACAGATTAGTCCCAACCACCCCATGAGGATGTAAAATATTGGCCACTGGCTCAGGGTCAGTAGTGGTTGTTGACGATTGGCAATGCTGAAAAAACGCATGGGAATGTGGACCTTGTTTTTGTGACAACGCACACACAGCAGCATTGTGTGGATTGGTGTGGGAGAAAAGGGGTCATTGTTATTCCAAGTGGCGAGGATGATTCATTTGCTGAGGTTATCATGTGACTTGTAATGCAATTGACTTCATTGCTATATATACTGCACAGTGTGATTTAGGGGTGGCGAAGAGAGGTTATCTCCCTTGCCTTCGGTTCCAGACCTTGACAATGTCTGTTGGTATATTTGGAGTCCACGTGTTCTCTCTCACTATTGTGGTCACGTGTATTTTTCTCCGGGTTCCTTCGGTTTTGCCTTCGCCATGAGACACAAAACGCATTTAGATGATTTAGCTGTTTCTATCGAATTGCCCACACGTAATAATATAGGCCACTTCGATGAGCTATCATGTGTGGACAGGTCACTTTCTGTTAAATAAAATAGTTACGCACAGCTGTCTGACATGGATTGCCGCTGGGGATTTTGAAGAGAGACGTAACAGCCGAGCGTTGTGGATGTGATTGGGTAAGACATGGGTAGGATATGTGCAGGAATGACACCACGCCATTGGCTAGAGGCCACGACTAGACAAGTTATCCATCAATTATACACTGTATTTCAAAAACACGATCATGTTTCATAAACCGGTTGCATAACTTTGGTTTCAACACCGCCTATTAATTATCACCCATTCTCAGCGATGACTTTTTGACATTTGGCATTTGCCATGTGTGGGTGTGTAGGCCCTTTGGCTAGTATGTGTTAAAACTACACAAATGACTGTACAGCGATCAAAGCAAAAATATCCCACGCAGAAAGTCGCTTGCTGTCCACTTTTCTACTCGAGGCATTCTAAACACACAAGCTGTACCTAAAAAGCAGAGGCCCTGCATTTCAGCAAGCACCCAATTTAAACAATTGCAAGACACTGTAATTCAGGTTACCTGGCACATTGAGGGACCAGCACTGACCTGGTACCACTTAGATCTTAGGCATTGAATACAGGCCCACCAACTGTGATTAAAATGGATTCTGGGATGTAGTGAGTTAGTGGTCTCAACCCGAGTCACCAATGACTGCACACACACACAAAACCGTCACAATAAATTTGGTTCTGCATTTTATTTGGCAGATTTCCAACTCTTTTGAGAATGAAAATATTGGATTGACGCTTCTTGGTTCTTTCGGTAAAGTCACGTAGAAGGGAAATGCTAAAATAATAAAAATAAAACATAATAAAATACAATTCTCACGACGTTTCGGCCACAACGCAAGCAGCCGTCCTCTGGTGAGGAACAGGTCTTTCAGAAAGACAGCGTCATTCACCTGAGGACGGATGCTTGCGTTGTGGCCGAAACGTTGTGAGAATTATTTTATTATGTTTTATTATTTTATTATTTCCCTTCTACGTGACTTTACCGAAAGAACCAAGAATATGAAACCCTGCAGTCACGAAAGCTTTAAATCGAAAGCCCAATTATCGGCAGTAGATTTCCTAAGGCCTGTGTATTAAAGTATGTATGTGGAAATATTGATGGCTGCCATTGTCAAGATGAAATGCTGACCAGTTTCTCATTGACTACATGTCTCCCACAGGTTCTCCAATAGCTATCTCTGACAATTTCCACCTCTGCATCTGATCGTTGGGGAACATCAGGCCTCTAGAAGAGATCAGCAGTCCACCTGTCTTATTGATGTAAGTCTGAGGTCTGTTCACAAGAGATCTATGCTGGTATTACTACACTGTTGTACATTTGAATTGGCTCAGATTTTCTCCTTGTTGCTGCGAAGGCCAGATGAACTTGCCACGTAATTTTCCTTTCTGTTCCATTGATGCATGTTGTGTTTTCCAACAATCAACAACAATTAGTATTTAATTCTGAAACGAATCATCTCACAAACAAACATCCCCCATATAACATCATCAGCCTTTTGAGGCAAGTGCTGTTAGCGAGCACTTAAGAAGGCCGATACGGCACACGAGGAAGTGGGTGGCCAGCACCACGCCTGGCCGCCGTTGTCTCCCTAGCAGATATTTTTACACACCGCACCAGGTACTCATTTTAGGCTGAGTCAACCGAGGGGAGGCTCAGGCCAGGTTCAGTTTACCGCTTGTCTCTAATGCATGTCCATAAATAAAACCCGGGTCACTGTGGCCATTGCGCAGTACACACACCACAACATTATTGATCCCCCTACACAAAGTGTGGCTGGCAAAAATCACGCACGCAAAAATATTTATCCCATACAGGCTTTTGATGCGAGAATTATTATCACTCGGGCCAATAGCAGCCAGGATCCTACATGCTAAGAATTCTGGGCTTTTTTTTATCAAGGCTGATGTTACCCACACCACATCAGGCAGTCAATAATAATGCATATAGCCTACGAAGAAAGGCCAGGGTCAGATTTAACTGACAGTTTTCAATGCGTATACTATAATGCATATACTACCAGAGCATGTATTTTGTTTGCATGTTCACCACAAGTCTGTGTTGTTAATGCAGACATGATTCCTTGCAAAAGGTTTCAGTTTGGTGTTTTAACATCGTAACACCTGTTTTATTGCCAGAAAGTGTAAAACATATTCCTATATTTTTATATTGACAAGGGAGGTCCCATAAACGTTTCACTGTAGCTGCACATGGCCCTGAATGAAACTTAATTGCCAGCCTTGTGGCACAGTAAACACTCACTTATGAGACTGCTGTTGTGTCACCGCAAACTGGACCTGCAATCGAGAGGTCACCAGTTCTATTTTCCGACACAAATGGTTGAAAATTAGCATACCACAATGAGTCGATCGGTGGGGTAAAGTGTGGGTAATCCCACCTCACGTTTGGCCGGTGTGGAAGAGAAAGACAAAAACACCCTCTGTAGAAACTCCAAAGAACTCCCATCTCGTGGAAGCCCTTTCAGCAGTCCTTGCAGGATGGAAAAAACCTGCTGATTTGGAATGACAACGATTTTGGGGTGAATCTTTAAGTTTGCTCAACTGCTGAAAATCTCATTAGACACAAATCGAACTGTCCCATAACCTTCCAACACTCACTCTCCTCCCACTGTGCCCTAGATTTGTCGTTTAACATTTCTGCAGGATAAAAAATGTGTTCAGCAATGTTGCCAACTGTCATAAGTTAAACGACCCTCATGAAACCATATCCATTGAATGACTCACATTAAAAATTCTGAATACAAAATTATATTCCACAGAAATGATAACATACTACTACGTCACACAGTGTTGCCATTCACAAAACTCAACCAAGGTTATGTTTCTTTTTTAACTTTGCATTTCCAACACAGCTCGATAATCGGGGCTTTCCTCCCCCCGCCCCGTAAATGATCAACAACAGCGGTAACGTGTTAACAAGGCTAACACACCCTCGTTCAGGTCTGTGCAAAGGGCAGCGGCGATCTATACTGCAATCGCACGCACCGTGATACATTTTTGCTGACTTGAGACTCCAATGGTTAACCGCTTTTCCCTGTAAGCAGTTGACCGTGTCACTGAGAGCGGCGGTGCTGTGTTCAAAGCCGTGCACCAACTTCTGTAAGCGCACGCACACTCACCCCACGCGCCCATGTGCACGCTTTGCAGGTGGACAGTGGAGGCAGCACAAACTCACCGAAACGATGATGAGCAAGGCAACTTTCCCGAAGCCCCCTGACGGCGGGTGGGGCTGGGTCGTGGTTTGCAGTTGCTTCATGGTCACCGCATGCACGCGTGCCATCACAAGGTTAGTTTTCGAGTACCGGTTCTCCGCACGCTTGTCATCGTGTTCCCGTTATCACCGCCGTCATCGATTTTACTCTCAGAGTATGCCTTGCGTTTGTGTCGCGAGAAATGTTCGCTCAAAGTGTCCCTGTCCTTATACGTGGACATTTGAATGTGCTCATCTTCAGCTGACGGTTACAGGGCTGGTGGTGGAAATTTCGCATTGCTATGTTGAGCCAGTCTCTACAACGCATTGGCCACTCTTGAACTCTCTCACCTTGTGATTGTTGAACTGCTGACCTCTTGTTTGTGAACGTTTAACGGTTTCATATGCCGTCTTGTTGAATTTATCTCAATTACCAAAATAACCGTTATTCCTCTTGAATTTTCAACTAATTTTCAAATAATAATAATTCACAGCTTTTCTAAATTGTACTATTGAATAATGTCCTTATATGGTGGCAGTCATGGGCGTTGTTTGACCATACTCCACTCGCGATTCGGTGCAAGTTGAAAAAGTGGGGGCTCAGTTCAGATATATTAGATATCGCTATCGGCTTTGGTATCAATGGACACTTTTCTATTTTGTCGTTCATAAAAACTAAATTCTTATCTATGGGTGGTTTTTTTTACGTGCAATTTTTTTTGGACCTAATGCATTGAAAAATAAAGTAGTTTAAAATAATATAGCCACACTATAAAATAATGTCACATTGTATAGAATACGCTGAGGGCCAGATTCGCTTCTTGACTAAATGAGCCAAAGAACCGCACTGGCAATGTGTCCCATTGTTGCAAATGGAGACATCTGCGCGTTTCACCAAACAAATAGACGTTTACGTATTTTCAACAACACAATACTTTGGCCTGTTTTTTTTACTAGGAATTATTTTGAGGCTTTTGCATTGACATCTGCATAGTAAACAGCATCATCATAATCCATGGTAATTCCACGACTGGATGAAGGTTTCCCAAGCCTCCACCATCTCTCTAGATTTTGCGCTATCATCCAAGGACTTGCACATGAGCTGGAGTTTCCGTGTCTCTCTCTCCCCATGGTCATGTGGATTTTTCTCCGGATCCTCTGCTTTTTTCCCTCCACATGTAGAAACGTGCGGTTAGAGTATTTGATTGCTGCTATACATTTCCGCATGATAAACCACTTTGTTGGGGTATCAGTTGAAGGCCGTTTACACATCCTTGTGAAGGTTTTTACTTCATGCAATCAAAAAGTTACAACTTGTCCTAAATCCTGAATCCAGATAGATTTTTTGAAAGCTTTAAGGATTTACGTATGCAGCATTAAACAGATGACATTGATTACTTGTGAACTACAGCACAATATTGAAATGGTCACATCTTACACGAGTTGGCTTGACAGCAGCGCATTAGCAAAATATAAAAAAAACATGCTAAGTATTCTGCGAATAATGACACATCATCCACAGTGTCTCCACATCACCATGCCCAAACCAGCCTTTTCGACGGCCATGCCCTAAACAAGCCGTTCGAACGGCTGCGCAAAAAATATTTTCCATTCCTACCAAATGGACTACCTCCATGGGCGGAGTGGAATGCGCCACTGGTGTTCAGTACAGTACAGCTCCTCTTATACGTGGCTGTGGGGAGCCCATTGTCGTCGCCCCGACTCTCCGCGGGGTTAGCCACGGTTTTACTCTACTTATCCATGGGAATAAACACGCTTAATGGGAATCCGTTCGGCAATGAACTTGAGGGGGGTGGGGGGAGTGGGAGATACAATGCAGATTATTAAAATAATTGAAAGAAGAGGGCCACGGATACTATGATTTTTTTTACAGACCTTAGCTCCTGAAATTAATAGGATCATAGCAATTCTCCTGTATTGAAGTAAAACAACTCGGGGAGGGGAGTAGAGGCAGTTGTGTAGAAGGGCTGACAGGGCAAGGGGGGTGTTGCCGGGATTGAAGCTCCCAAGACAAGCAAGGCATGGCCCAGGATGAGCAGCAGGGAGAAAGAAGGAACGCCCGTACAGGAAGGGTATGAGGAGAGGGAGAAGGAAGGGCCGGGCCAGGATGCTGGGGAAGAGACGATGATGAGAGGAAATAAGGAGAATAGAGATGGACGGAGCAAGCAGCAGTGAGCTGCACGAAGCAGCATCTGTTTTCACAGGGGGCGGGGGAAGGGGACGGATCGAGAGTGGGAGTGGCCACACAGAAGTCACGGGAGACTTGAGCTGATCTCGATCTTTAAATGGGCCACTCATATTCAGTACTTCTATTGCTTCCAATGTACCTGTAGCTCTACTGTAATGTAAACCGTGATAACATTCGCGGCAGTCAGTGACTGCATCGGTACGAAAAATCACGCACGTGCACTTTGAGTGAACATTTCTAACAAACTCGAGAATGAACACGTCGCCACAATAAATCAGAAGATGCATACAAAGTGCCGCAACGTTGCAAATCGCATGCCGTCTGATACGCCAGTATACGGCAAGAGTGGCTATAAATGATGCAGGCCTTTTATTTCAGCCTGTGGCCAGGTGCTAGATGGGCCGTTACATCGCAGGGACCACGAAATGGCAACAGCTTGGGAAGGCCTTCATCCAGCAGTGGATTTATCATGGCTGAAGATGATGTTGCTTTGCAGCCTAAATATGTACGATTCTTTCGGAGCGTATTTTTCGTAAATTTAGTTGTGATACAAATCCTGCTTTGTCACACCATGTAATGTGTCGGCATAATTACATATTTTGTTTACCGCCCCTCTTGGTTGAACTGTCCGTAACGTGTGTTTTGAGAATTGCTTGTCCAAGCACACATACATGTTGACACACCCTTATTTGCCAGGAGGTTTCTGTTTTTCCGACCTTTGACCTCTCTACCCCCAAGCTACCCCGCTGATGGCCTGCAGCCCCCATTGATACGTTGTTTTGTATTTGTTTTTTGGTGTTTGTTACAACTGAAGTCACTCCGATGTCTACTGTAGTTTTGTACTATCACCCCATTATGTTTCAGGCCGCCGGCTCTGTTTTCATTCGACCCAATGTAAACTCGCATGACATGCGTGACACACACACACTGGTGAGGTTCATCGTGAATGCTCAACCGTCCGGGCTTAAATTGTCCACACCAATATCTCCCATCGTGGCTTTTCTGTGAGATCTTTCAGTGCCGCAAATGCGGGGACCCGATCCACTTCTCAATTACTCAGTTTTCCCACCTTCAGCGGAGCCTCCACCTTCCTGCACACTCGTTACTCAAACTCCCTGCGGAGGAATAAATACGCACGGGATTTTAAATTCCACACGAATACTTCAGAAAAATTCATCCTACAAAGACGTGTGTACTCATTTTTCACTGGCATACGATCATTCCTTCGTGGTCAGGGGGAAATATTTTTTATTTATGTTGCTGCTATTCCCCATTTCGACACGATGATAAGCCACTTCGTTATCATTTGTAGCCAGGTCGCTTCTGAGAAAGAGCTATAGAGCTCAGTGGGCTTTACCTGGTGAATATAGTTTTGTTCGGTTTAATTGTCAATGCCCTTTATTTGATGAGGAAATAACTGGTGCTCTACTCTATCAATGTCATTTATATAACTTGCCATTTGAACGGAGGGTAATGAAATTGCCGGCTTATTTCTCTGATCCGATGAGGCTCAGCCCTTTAAGCTATCCATTATGTAATAACAGTAATAATAATAATAATTTACAGCCCTTCGTCAATTCAAACTCCAAGCATCCCCATGCCTGGTCGGTCATGAGGGTTTTTGAACATGCTTCACCATGCTGGTGAGTACAAATTGGTGAAGGAGGTAGGATGGGGATGCAGCCCCGGTTCAAACATCGCTCGACACTAACGATATAGCCGTCGCCGAGAATCGAACTCGGGAAGCCAGGTTTCCAGCTCAGTTTGCTTGCAACTGCGCCACTGATGTACCCCGAAACTATCTGTTATGGTAATGTAATATATATGATAATGCGTGGTTGCATTACGATTCCATCCTGAGACACAAGTGAGATATTGAAATCAGGATTTTATATGAATCTAGACTCCCAAGCAACTAGATTCCTGCTTTTTGCACATAGGGCTGTACTCATCACCGTGCTTCCATGTGAATATTGTTGCGTCCATGTCGTCGCGTCCGTGTGACTATCACGTGACAAGGTGTCATCACAGCTACTTAAAAAAAAAAACGAAAAGGGGACATCAACAAACCACTAAAGACACTGCCATGTGATGGAAAACATTGTGTAGATGGCATAAAGTCCACTGAGCAATGTGGAAGTGAGCCCCTGGCAGCTGTTTTTTTTTTGTTACAGGCATTGTAGCGATGCAACTCACACATATGTAGCCTTCCCTTCAAACATTGACATGCAATCAGGGTCACTGAGCTCAAACTGTAACAAAATGCATAAATAGGGTGCCAATGTACATGTGTAATGACAGGATGACACCTGCTGGCTGGAAAAGGGAAGCACGGGTACGGGCACCGCTAAGACAACATCCAATCTGAAAGGGAGAGGGGAAAGGTAATAGGCGGGGTTGGCCGAGATGCTCCGGGAACCTGCTCGAAGGTTCCACGATAGGGCGTGGCCAGAAGCGGAGCCTAGCCGCGCCTGGGGAGATATAAGCAGGGTCGGACCAGGGCTCGGGGTTCGTGTGTGGAGTCTTGGGTCCGGACTGCGTCGCTACTCGCCGTCATCTCTCTCCGTCGTCCGGCCACGTGGAACATCTCCTGCGGGCTTCCATCACAATCATCGGTCATGCCGCCAGCCAGCGGCGTAGCCGAGTGTGGATGGTGGAACCTCGCCGAGTGATCGGCCGTGTGTGTAGCCGATAGAGACGTTGGCCTGTGTTGTGCCCATGTAAGAATAAAATAAGAAGTACCCTCTACACGACGTGTCGCGGAAGTCGCTCATTACACATGTGTCATCGTATGCCCGAGGACTTGCCCTCGTGATGAGCGTGGAGAAACACGTTTCCAATTAACCAACTATTAAATGTTACTAGCACCTGCAGAAAATACATTTAAATCAATGGTACCTTTTTGCCGTAACCAAAATGATTAAAAATAAGAATGGATTTTACACTTTATGGAAATAAAACAGGTGTTACTGTTCGCCTTTTGGTGTTCTCTGTCTAACACTGGTGGTGAGACAAGGCCATGAAGAAGGATGTCTCTGGTATAGGTCAATCAGTTTCAAAAACAATGCCCATATATTACACTATGGAACACAATTTTTGTTCCTGGGTAGTAAGTGTTATTTCATAATTGCTTTACCTAAAAAGTATAGAAAATAGCTATTAGTTCCCACAAACTTTGCTTTTGTGACCGGGACAGTGATATTTTGGAATTTACCTACTTTCAATGAGAAAACTGGCGAATTTGTGTATTTTCGTTCACATAAAGTCAGAAAAAACGTGAATCAAAATTAACATGAATTTATACTAAAGTAATGCAAAAATGACTACAAAAAATTTAGAAGTGAGTAGTTTTTCGAGATTCACGATTATACTGTAAATTACTTTCACGAATCAGCCCCCAAATGTAGTAGTCTCCCATCATTGTCTCGTTATACTGTCCTTGGTAGCGGCATTTAAAGTCCAGTATATCGTGGTGAAAGCGCCCGCCTTGCTCCTCCGAGTATGCTCCCATGTTCTCCTTGAATTTATCAAGATGACTTCAAGGATATGGACTTTGAGGGACATCCTACAGCCCATTGTGCCGTAGTTCTTAACCAGAGTCTTAACCAGCTCCACATAGTTTTCGACCTTATGATTGCCCAAGAAGCCACGAACCACTGCGACAAAGCTGTTCCAAGCCGCTTTCTTCTTACTAGTGAGCTTCTTGTGGAATTCATTGCACTCCAGGATCTTCTTTATCTGTCGTCCGACGGAGACACCGGCTTTGACCTTTGCCTCAGACAGCTTAGGGAAGAAGTCTTGAAGGCACTTGAAGGCTTCCGACTCCTTATCTACAGCTGTGACAAATTTTTCATAAGGCCCAATTTGAAGTGCAGTGGTGGCATCAGCACCTTCCGGGGGTCCACCAGTGGCTCCCAATTGACGTTGTTCCTCCCCACAGAGAACTCAGTCCGCTGTGGCCAGTCCCGCCTGTGGTAGTGCGCCTTGGTGTCCCTGCTGTCCCAAAGGCAAAGATAGCAGATAAACTTGGTAAAACCGCCTTGGAGACCCATCAGGAATGACACCATTTTGAGGTCTTCGATGACCTCCCAGCCGTACTCATTATACTTCAAGGCAAGGTATTGATGCTGTTGTAATCCTCTTTGAGGTGCACCGAGTGAGCCAGGGGAAGAGACGGGTACTTGTTACCATGATGGAGCAGCACGGCTTTGAGGCTCCTGGATGAGCTGTCAATGAAGAGGCGCCACTCATTCTGGTTACAGGCAATTCCGATTGCCTCGAACAGACTGGTCACATTGTGGCAGAAGCAGAGCCCATCTTGACGGGTGAAGAAGCTGCAAAAAGGTTGGTGACGCTTCCTCTGATCTGCGACTTTTACACTTTTATCCAACAAGTTCCACTGATTGAACCTAGACGTCAAAAGCTCGGCATTGGACTTGGTGAGACCAAGATCTCTGATAAAGTCGTTGAGGTCTTTTTGGTTGGGGTAGTATGGGTTTCTTTCCTCAGCTCCACCTCTGAAATTGTCATCTGGATCTACAACGTCTTCCTCGCTGTATGACTTGCTGCTCTCTTCTAAAGACCCTCTCTCCTCGGAGGAGTGGGTACGGGTAGCTCATGTGAGTGTGGCACCGGGGCAATGGATGAAGGAAGGTCCGGATACGTGATAGCAGGTGCATTCCTGCCAGTCCGACGTTTGGAAGGGTCCACCATGCAGAAGTAGCAGTTGCTTGAGTGGTCAGTGGGTTCCCGCCAAATTATTGGGATAGAGAACTTCATGGCTCTCTTTTACCCTCTGTACAATCCTGCAAAAAATGTATTTACTTCACCCATGACTAATGTGTAAACAATTCTCGCAACATTTTTCAATAACACTGAAAATTGTAAAACATTTGAAAATTAAAAACTTTTACAATTTTTTTTTACAAATTTTATAACATAAAATTCCAAACAACAATTGTTTATGCATTGCTTGCAGGTGAAATGAGGTGCCCAGGGTTTGTCTTGATCCCCGACAGGCATGCCGAAAAATGCCTTGTAGGCCTCACACATCTTAGCAGATGCTTCCACACAGTTCTTTTTCACTCTTGTCTTGATTAATTGGCCGCAGACATAGCAAAATGCGTCTGCTGGATGCTTGCAGCCTCTTGATGCCATCTCAGAAAAATGCAGAAATGTATCCACTGAGGCAGCTGGAACTAAACTGAACTGGTCGGCTTAAGGCCCCTGTATTTATACTAAAATATTTATATTACTGGAAAGTTATAGAATGTTCTAGAAATTACTCCAAGTTTAATCAGCACTGAATCTATCTGGAATGTTCTGGAAAATAGGTACATTTCCAAATATCACTGTCCTTGTTACAAAAGCAAAGTTTGTGGGGAATAATAGCCAATTTCTGTACTTTTGAGGCATAAGCAATTAGGAAATAACACTTACTACCCAGGAACAAATAAATAAAATAAATTGTGATCGAAACGTCGTTATTTGTTTTATTTTATTTCTACCTACGTGACTTTACCGAAAGAACCAACGAGTATTGTAATACAGTGTTATCAGAGCATGTTTGTTTACATGTTTTGCCACAAGTACGTGTGGTTAATGCAGCCTTGATGCCTTGAAATAGATGTATATTTGGTGTTAAAACATCTTAACGCCTCCTGTTTTATTGGCAGAAATTATAATAAAAGCTATTCTTATTTTTTTCATCAAATTAATATTGAATAACCAAAACTTAAAAATATATATCTAGCAGAGACATCCTTAATTCCTGGCCACGTGCTCCTTAATTTATTTGGATTTCTTATGAAAGCCTCACTGATTATAATTTTTGCGATGTTATAATTCCAATTGAGTAATTTTCCGATGATTTTGCATATGTGATCAATTTATCTGCGTACTGCATGTTTGTGTTAAAACATGCAAATAAACATGCTCTGCATGTTTGAACATCTTAACACCTGTATTCTTGCTCTAAAGTGTAAAACCTATTCGGTTTTTTTTCATCATCTTGATACTGGCAAAAAGTCCTGGTAGAGGCATTTGTAGTTTTCCTGTATTTATATATTTTTTGTAAATTAAACTACGTTATTTACCAGGTAAATCCCACTGAGCTATTAGCTCTTGATCAGATGTGACTTGATCACACATGACAGCTCATCGAAATGGCTGATATCAAACCTGCAACGTTGGCCCAATGTTGGCAAGCAGTTGGATCCATCGGCCCAACGTTCCATGATTGCTGGGTTCACCTCGTATGCAAATTGAATATTATATACAAAGCAACTTGCACCCTCTGTGTAATTCGTGTAATCCATTGCAGATGCATACCAATTTTCTTCGTGGAGTTTCAACAACACTTCTCAAAGGACACATCTACAACTGCATGGATTAACTCAATAATGGACTGCACCACCATGCTGTGTGGTACGAACATCCGCACTGATCATTATCATTATACATTGTCTCAATATGTCCATTGTACATTTATCCACCTGTACATTCTAACTTAAACTGAACACAAAACCATCACGTATATTTTATCACCTTGAGCTGTCACGAAGCGATACACTGCGATTCTGTTGACGTCCGTTCACTTGGCGTGGCCACTGTGCTGTGATGCAGCCCCCATTGGAAGCCTGCTGAGCACTCGCTTTGGCTGCCGGGCCACGGTGATGTTTGGTGGCCTGGTGTCATCCTCTGGTTTCATCATTGCCTCCTTTTCCCCAACCATCGAATTCCTTTACCTGTTCCTGGGACTGATGGCTGGTGAGTCAACGACTGCTTGAGGACTGCACGTGACGAAACCAGTTTACAGGTGTCACCCCCTGCAGATGACGTATATTGGAATGAGAGTATTCCCTCGTTATTCTCGAACTTGCTATCCGCGATTTTCGCTATCCGTGAATCGCATCTGGAACTCTACACAACTGCATTTAGAGAGAGATAAATAAAGGGATGAGAGAGAATGTGATGCGAGAAAATGATGAGATAAAGTGATGAGAGATCAAGTGATGAGAGATTAAGTGATGAGATAAAATTATGATATTAAGCGATGGGATTAAGTAATGAGAGAGAAAGCCTATTTATGTATTTATTTAAGGTAATATATGACGAAGATATGTTTTCGTTGGCCAATATCTTTATCCGCGAAATTTTATATTCACGAGCATATCCATAATCAATCCCTCGCGAATAATGAGGGGATACTGTATGGTAACATTCAATGCAAATTATAATAGTAATTTACAGATATTTGTCAGATTGCATCTGGTTGAAGGCCTCAAATGCCATGTTGGTCATAGGTGTTGTTGGACCATACTTCGCCACGCTGGTCAGTGCAGCACGGTGAAAGAGCGTGCCTAGTACGAACTCACATATCAGTAGCCACTGATGTAAATTGTGCAGTTCGTAACAACTGTACCCACAGCACTCCATCTGTTTAGGGTGTTTATTTATAGGTGAAAAAGATAACACTACCATTATTATTTGCTAACCGTGTTTTGTAAGTGAAGCAAAAACATTATCTCCTAATACTTAAGGCAACGACATTTCAGACCACAGTAAAATAATTGTGGTCTATTCATAGGAGAGGAATATTTAGAACGACACAAGTTACTGTTTACCAATCCAATACACTGCGAATCACAAATGGGTTGTATACGAAAGTCCGACATTGCAGATACTCTGGTTAATTATTAGGTCATTCGAATAAAAGCCGACATCAATGTAAGGTCACATGTGACACGGTTAAAGAAAGCCTACCTGTTTCCCTTGGAACTTGGTTTTATGTCAGTTACATCCTAGGATATGCCTCTAGCATTATAAAGTCAGTGCTCACATTTAACAAATGGCTATTGAAATGTGACTATTGAATATAGTGGCTCTTGATGCCAAAACATATTTCAAGCATGTTACATCACCGCAAAACCGTGGGGAATGGCGATGAATTGGAGAGGCCTTTATTCAGCAGTGGATTGATTATGGCTGCTGCTGCTGATGATGATGACATGTCACGCAATGTTGCCATTACGTTACCACAGGCCTAGGCTTCGCGCTGTGCTACTCCCCCTCGATTGCGATTGTCAGTCGCTACTTCCAGAGGCATCGGCTCTTGGCCACAGGGCTGGCCATGTCCGGCAACGGAGTGGGCACCTTCGTGTTGGCACCTGTGGTCCAGGTGAGACAGCAAACTCACCCAGGTGCCAGTTCATCCATGGGGCCAGAACAGAAAGCGGTACCGCCTAAGGCGGCTACAACAATTTATTTATGGTGCTCCGGCGCTGGCGAGATGTTAACTCCCTCGCCTCGTATACACGAGGTCGTGGGTTTGATCCCAACCCTGACGCCTGCTGTATATTTGGAGTTTGCATGTTTTCCCGATGGTCGCGTGGATTTTTCTCTGGCTCCTCCGTTTTTTTATGGTAGTTAAATGTAATTAATGTATGTGGTAACATTTTAAAATGAACAATTTAGCAGTGTTATGTTTTAACATTTGACAAGTCTAGTCCAGAGCTGGACGATCTGATTGGTTTAGAAACTGATTACTAAACTTATCTGATAAACAAAAAAATATGAAAAAAATAATCACCTCCATTATCATGTGTGTTGCTGGACGGGAGGTGATGGGCAGGGCTTGGTGATGTCATTGGCGTCATAAGCTGTCTACAATTGGGTGTGGCTTGTAGAGAGGCAAGATATCTGGGCTTCCACCAGATTGTAAGGAGCCAGAAAAATGTTTGGTTAATAAATCGACGAATTGTCCCAACTTGAATATTTTTTGGGACCATGTACTGCATTTCATTTTACTGTGTATTTACAATGCCTGTACTCCTATTTAAATCAGTTGCAATTTCAGCATTTCAGATTTTCAAAAGGTTAGCATTCATAAAGTCTAAGTGTCTCTATGCTCAAACGAGCACTGTAATGGTGTTGGTGGTGTTTGTGTAGGCACCCCAAAGCCAGTGGTGAAAATTCCACAATCCTGTGACATACGCAAATGTCTCTTTCGAACAACCACTGATAACTTCACACAAAGCTGTACTCGTGTTTTCAGCCATGGAAGGATGACGGGCTAAGTCACCCTTTGACCCGATAATTAAATTAACATGTAACGTTCTCACCTGCCCCTACTGAACATCTGTGAAAAATAACTTTAAAGCTCATCGGATTCCTCCAGTATAAATAAATATTCTGATTCTGAATTCACAACTTCCAGATTGAGAGGCATGCACTATAGCGCCACCTGGCTGGAAATTACATTCACTGCCTCACCAAATAGTGTAGAACTCCCACCTCATCACATATCTAACACAGTTCTGTTGTTGTCAAATGAATGTCTCTGAACAGATGCCTACAGAGAGTCCTTATGACATTTGATGCCTCTGGTTCCTTTGTTCATATAAATGTATCAACTGAAAGTTTTTAACGAATTAGCATATTTTGTTTACGTAACAAACCTTACCAATTGGCTGTCAGGTGCTGGCGGGTTTAACGACGCATTTATATTTACGCACTCTAATCCAGAAAACACATCTTTTGTGGATAATATTAGTCGCGAAAGCCTACTACGTGTTAAGAATTAAGGCGCAATGCACCGTTACCTATACCCACCCTCCCAATTCGCTGCTCTAAATCTCCACATGATGATAAGCCACTTCGTTGAGCTATCATTTGTGGCCAGGTCGCTTCTGAAAAAGAAGCAAATACCTGGGAAGATTAAAAAAAAAGTTTACTTTTATGTATGTTTGTTTACCGTTCCTATACTTTACACTCCTATCGTGTTTGTGTATTGTTTGTTGTTGTAACGTTCTCACGCCATGCCCTTCTGGACATTTGTGATAAAGAGCCATGTACATAGCCAATTCTGATTCTGAATTCCATTCTCTCCACTAAACGTCGCGCGGAGGGAGCAGCTGCTGATCGAGGTGTACGCTTGGCGGGGAGCGCTGCTGCTGCTGGGGGCCTTTGTGGCGCAGCTGTGCGTGTGCGGAGCCCTGCTCAGGCCCCTGGCCTCGCCGGCCGCTCCCACCGCCAAGCCCGGCCTGCTCGGCAAGCAGCCGGCAGAGACAGCGACGCCTCTCGACCGCTACAAGTGTGTGACTCCACCTATTCTTCTTTATCCTCCTCTAGAATGTTTTTTTCATATTAAGAATTATTTTTTTCATTTTTTTTACTTGTTTCGCTTCGTACATAGCAAACCATGCTATAATAATGTTGGAAAACTAATCTGAGTTCTGCTTATATATATACATTTTTACCCATAATGCCACGCTACAACAGTTGGTAATACAATAATGCGTATTGCCTTGAATAATATCTGCTAACCCTTAGCAGCATTTGTTTTAACAAGCCCACCTTTGCTGATGAAACCCAGAAGGTCAAAATCGGTCCTGCGTTTGCTGGCTTAAGCAAATGTTGCCTGGATAATATTGGCTTGAAAAGCCAATAGGACAATGGCCTCAAATATTGTTATTCAATATTATTTCTATGCTTGCCTGTAATCTGGACTTAATAGGGGTTCACTAACACAGTACTTGGTATAACAATCCACGAGGCTATATGGGAGTTCTTTGTATGTGCGTGCATATGGGTAATCTACGTTTACCTTAAAATATCCTACATTGTAATCATGATTTTCAAAGACTGGAAACCAGAGTATTGTATAATTGCTGTACATTAAATCAACTCTTTAATTCATGAAATAGTTTGGTGGAAGCTAGAATACTGCATTATAATATTCATTTTGATGAGACACATGATTTAAAATCGATATCTAAAGGCTGTTCTGCAAGGTGAAGTCATTTGTGACTTTTGAATCACAAATGCCTATTATAAGGATAATTGTTTAGCCATTTCCTCTTATACACTTTCATGTGGGACGAAACCAGGGGCAGCTGGAGAAAACTCGGAGCAGGAACAAAACACTTCGACTCTGCACTGATAGCCTACCACAAACCACGTTGCCCTACACTGCCTCGCAACCCAATATGTAAAAACTAAATTGGTAAGATTAATGCTGTACTTTCCATAGACGGTGACCGTGACAGACCCCTTCCTTTGCACAGGTCTGAAAAGAGCTATTGCATTTTAATGGGATCTCATCCAGCCAAATGACAGCCTGCGGGAAACTCTAATAGCAGAGATGTTCAACAGTTCCTTACTCTGTCAGTTTAACACGGAGGCATTTCGCGACCAATATCAACCATAATACAGGTTTTTTTCAGGTTAGATTGCATAAATGTATAAATGTGTCGTTAAACCCGCCACCACCCGACAGCCAATTAGGGGCCGTCCATAAATGACGTCACGCTATTTTGGGCGATTTTATACTCCCCCTCCCCCCCTAGTCACATGGCCTCTCAAAAAGTCAGACCCCCCTCAAATATGACGTCACAAAGCTCTGCCCCCCCCCAAACATATTTCCATTTTGAAAATAAAACATGCTTCAAATCACTTTAAACTAAAAATATTGTCATTATAGTGCGTATTTAATGTGGCGCTGTACTCTGTTGTAGGAGAAAACACGTATTAGAAAGGAGGCGTTGGAAAGCTGAAATTTAGCATAAAATTCACTTGAAAATATTCAACTAAAACTGCAGATGTTCAGAATATTATATTGAAATTCTCTTATAATTATAAAATAAAAGTAATTATAACTATAAAAAATACTTGAAAATTTGTAGTAAAACAAAGCAAAATGGAGAGTACAAGTATAACAATCACATATTTAACAGAATGAAAAGCCCTGGTAGAATCATTACAATCAAAATGTTTAATAACAATCATTCAAAAAATTTACAAAATGTATGCTTCTCCATTCTCTCATGGAGAAGCAAAATGCTCCTTCATGGAAGAAATAAAAGGTGACCTTAGTAAATTTAAATAATCAAATAGTTAATAATGAAAATTAATCAAAATTAGTGTTGTTATAACAATTCTATTTCATCAATATTTATTTAAAGTTGCGCATTTTGATGTGACGTCACATTTCTCAAACCCCCCCTCCCCCCCTCGTCACACATCGTCACAAATGTCTGACCCCCCCTCCCCCCCCTCGGTGCGTGACGTCATTTATGGACGGCCCCTTAGTAAGGTTTGTCACCTAAACAGAACATGCCAATTCGTTACTAGTCCAGCACACAGATGTGTTGGAGAGCTAAGCCACAACATTTACAATCTGAGTACGACATTTTGCCAGTAATTACAACTAGCTGCATCAGGCGACATCCAAATTTGTCGAGATATCCGTGGCCTGTCACTAGCACCAGATTAATTGTTTTTGGGTGGCCATCTGTATATTCAATTCCTTCCCTTGAGCATTTTACCACCACCTACGCAAGATTCCAAACATTCCTATCCTAATTCACCTTGGATTTTTCAGTGCTAGTTTTAAAATGTGAAATACCAATTGTAGATCTAAATGACAGTCAATACAAACAAAACCAGTTGGAATTGTAGGACACCGCCTATAGTGGTGCACTACAGGCGATGTGATGCAAACGCACTTTAACCATAGTGATGCTATGGCTCTAAATACCAGGTACCTATAGGATTTACCATCGTGCCGAGCATCGCTGTTTTGACCTTCATAGAGTGGGACGTGCTGTTACATATCCTCGGAGTCCCCCAGGGGGGCGGCCATGGCCTCTTAAGGCCTCCCCCGCATTAACCCGGCGGCGGTGGCGGTTCCGCACCCGTTGCAGGCCGCGCATGCTGTGCGAGGTGGCGATGGCGGCGGCGCGGCGAGGGTGCCGCGGGGCCCTGGCGTGCAGGCCCGAGCTGCCCGTGCTGTGCCTGTCCGTGTCCCTGCTGGCCTACGGGTGCATCACGCCGCTCGTCTACCTCGTGCCGTTTGCGCACAGCGTGGAGACGCCCGAGAGGCAGGCGGCCTTCCTGCTCTCCCTCCTCGGCGTGATGGACATCGTCGGCACCGTGACGTACAGCTGGCTCATCGACCGCGAGTCAGTGGCTCCGGGGGTTTTCTTTTTTGTTGCCTGATACACGGAATGTGATCTGATGTAGGCGGCGGTATACGGTGTTTGTAGAGTTTGAGAATTACCTGGTAATAGTTTGAACGTATATAGCATTTGTTGTCCCCCCCCCCCCGTGCACCTTCGACTAGCACTGTTGGTTACATACGGTGCAAAAGAAATTCTACATACATCTAAATACTGAAATAACACGTATAGAACTTAGAAAACACAATACGTTTTTTAATTCTTATATTCTATAAACACCACTCAATTTGGGTGCGCCTCCAGCATCCGCTGTCACCCATGGGCCAGATGAGCAGAAAGGACCGGGCGATGAAGCGATGGGGGGGGGGGGGGAATTTAACTGGGGCCCCTCATTTGATTCCTTGCAAGCAGAGACCCACGCCAACCACCCTCGAACGTGCGCGAGTGACGCACAGAGTCAGGGTCTCTCGACTCGCACGGCAACGGTCCGTAACGATCTCCCACTCGTGCTCGCCCAGGTGCCTTCGGTCGCGGCGAGCGCACTGCTACTGCGTGGCGGTCGGCCTGTACGGCGCGTGCGCCCTCGCCCTCCCCGCCATGCGCAGCTTCTCGCTGCTCGTCGCCTTCGCCGCCCTCTACGGCTACTTCAACGGCGCGTGCACCCCGCTCATCCCCGTGCTCGTGGCCGACCTGGTGGAGCCGGCGAGCGCCAGCACAGCCATCGGCCTAATCTACGCCATGCACGCGCTGCCCTACCTCCTCGGCCCACCCACCGCAGGTTACCGAGCCCTACGGTGACATCCGTATTCGCGTGCGCTTTTAAGTGGCTCTGGACGCCTTCGTGAGTTCACAACCTCGTCAAAGTTCCACAGTTCGAATGCAAATAGCCACGGCGCGATGTAACTAAGTCATCAGGTATGTGCCTGATCTCGTCCAGATCTCAGAAGCTAAGCAGGTGTTGAGCCTGGATAGTGCTTTGATGGGGTGACCACCATGCACAAAACAGGCTGTCATAGGCCGCTGTAGGGCTATATAGTGGGCGGCAGATGGAACTGCAGCATAAACCGTTGCTGTTCTGTACTTGCTTTTATGTCTACGCGTGGCGTATGGTAAAATAACCCCCTTGAGCCATGAGGTGTGGTAGGCCATCATTCATAAGTGGAATGACACAAAGGCTGTGCATGGTACACACACCAGATTCAATGAAGTGGAGTGGGTTGATAGTGTGTCCACGTAATTCTCTCAATTCAAGCTCTTTTGGAGAAAAAAAATCTAAATATCTCGAATGATTAACGCGAAGAAAGCGGCTGGATCTTTGTCGAGCGTGAAAGCGCCATTGTCTGATATTTGGTACAGTAGAAGCCCTCTTAACGACGGTAATTGGTTCCATGAAACCGTCCGTTAAGTGATTGGTCATTAAGTGAGTATAAGAAATACACGTTAAAGGCTTAAATCGTTCCGATAACATTTCCACTTGGTGGGCCTGTTAAGTGACCTCTGAAAATATGGTGTTCTAATTAAGAAAAACCTCGTGATATTATTGACTTTCCCGTGAAAGTGATATAACTGTCTTATCTACCAACGGTAGGCATTTATAAACAATACGAAACAAAACAACAGAGCACTCATGCTGTCCTCATGACCCTCAAGTCCACAAGACAAAACTTCTTCGACACTGCCAAACGCTTCGAGCATGTAGGCCGTAACCTGGTGTATTTGTACAATGCAACCTAGCGCTGTGACATCATCATTACAGCCATGAATGCCTTTTTCACCGCCCTGAATGTGTCTCAATCGGCGTGGCTAAAATGCGAAGCTGCTAATCGCAATGACTGAAAGGAAATTTCTCACTCGGACGCCTATACAGCTGCCCCGAGACCTCCCCGAGGCACAAATCAGACTGTGCTGTTGCAGTGGTTTCTGATATGAACAACTTAAAATGTTATCTTCGTTAGGCAAATCACGTCTAAATTTTTTTTATATATATTAATACATGAAGATACTAACAACATTATAAACACATGTTAAAAGTAACATGGTTAATCAATGCATTATTTAATATTTACTGTACCTGTGACAGCCCGTCGTTAACCGGGGAATGGTCGGTAAGAAAACACATTGGGCTCTATGGGGGCCCGTCGTGAAGCGATTAGTCGTTAAGAGGGGTTCTAAATGAGGCCTGTTTTTCCCCTGTCCCACAGGCTGGCTGGTGGACTTGACGGCAGATTATAATGCCGCATTCTTCCTCAGCGGAGCCATCATCATGCTCGGCTCAGCCACGTTTGCGCTGGCCACCTGCGCGACGTTGGCATCGGTCACCTGCAACAAAGGGCACCTGAAAGCCCCTTCAGGACATGGGGATGTCTAGGGGCCCACCAGGTACACGAGTTGTATATAAGGAGTGTGCCTTCAGCCGTGAAACATTTTGAACAGTTTAAGATGTGCACCTCTTTCAAGATGCCTGGTCAGTGTGGAGGAGGAGTGAGCCAAAATACCTCTCTTGAGGGGCCTCGCTCCCACTAGTGGAGGCCCTTCCACCAGCAGTGGCATGAACAAGCAATCGCAGGGCTGCACCTTTGCCTTTTAATAGGTGCACCCAATTCCAGGGCACGACCTGTATGTATGTATATATAAGAATAGTTTTTACCCTTTCTTGCAACAAAACAGGTGCTAAGATTTGAAAACATCAAACTGAAACTTTTTGCAAGGAATCATGTCTGCATTAACCACATATACTTGTGGTGAACATGCAAACAAAAAACATGCTGTGACAGTATGTGCATTGTCTTCTGATTGGGCCACACCAGAGACAGCTTTCTTTAGAGCCTAGTTTCAGAAAGTGTTAGAGCAGAGGACGCCAAAAAGCGAACAGCACAAAGACAATGCCACTATCAGGGCATTGAGAGCTCGGGTCGAACAGCTACATCAAGGGACCTCCTTTGCCAGTATCAAAATATAGAAATAGGTTTTACCCTTTCTGGCAATAAAACAGGTGTTAAGATGTTAAAACACAAAACTGCAATGAATCATGTCTGCTTTACCCACATATACTTGTGGTGAACATGCATGATGTAGCTGTTTTATTGCCAGAAATGGTAAAACCGATTCTTATATTTTGATACTGGCAAGGGAGGTCCCATGATGTATGTATGTATGTTGAACTTTTTTCGCACCGTACGTAGCCAAATGCCAGAGGTCTGGAAAATGGGGCATTTAAAAATGCTCAGTACATTACGTTGAAGATCAATTTTCACACTAATCTCATAAAAGACACAATCCTGATGGATTTTGTTATATCTGCTGAGTCCCCCTTGAATCTTCACATGGAACTTAACCAACACTGCAGGTGGAATGTGGTGTGGGTCATTCACATTAGCATCTACATATCAATGTGTTGTATACCACCATTGTCTCCTACATCATCATCAAGTTACATGTTATTGTTCCTCATGTTTATTTTACAGTGTCTCAAAGTGCACAATTATCAAACATTTCTGGTTGTGGTTTGCTATCATGACTTTAACAGTATTTTATATTGCGACTTTTACACTGGTTATGTCTCAAAGGGCACACACACACCCACAAACCAGACGATTGAGGGGCTGAGCTATTGCCAGCAGTCCCTTTCTGAAACCTCACATTACGGCGTACATTGAAATGTGTAATTTTTATTTGGATCAAGGTTGAGAAAGAAAACACTGCGCGCTCTTGCGAGTGATGTTACACGAGTAATTTGCGTCCACTTTACCAGTTTTATAATGGCGTTATACAAGTGCAATCAAGCAACCAAGAACATTTGGCAGTATATTAGTGGTGATATGGATCTTCTATGATACAGTATTTAATTGTATAGTATTTGTGTTTGCTCTAATCATTTTTTTTATTTAGATCATATGCTGCCATGATGTAATGGTTTTCACACTGGGCTTGCAGTCCAGAGATCACCAAAATTTGATTCCCCGGCACGGCAGTTGAAGCAATTGGCAAGTTTATTAACCCAGCCCCACCTCTGTCCACTTAGTACAATGGTCCATCGGTTAACGATGTTAATGTGAATTGGTTCCACGAAACCCATCGTTAATTGAAGTTATCATTAATCGACTATAGGAAATACATGATAAAGGCTTAATTTGTTCCAAGACGATGGGAAGTTTAGCTTTTTCACCTTAAAAACATAGTTTATAACTTTTAAACATGCAATTTTAATACATAAACGTTATAACATATGAAATAATTAATATTAATAGAAACATTGAAAAATAATGAATAAATAAATAGAGCATACAAAGGTGCATAAATAGAGCATAAAAGAAAAATTACTACCTTAGGAGTTGGGGTGGGAGAAAATTAATTTTTGGAAGGAGAGTCTCCTTCCATTAGAGTCCTCTGGAGGTTCAGGGGTGGTGGAGGTTGAGGGATCATTAGCGAGCCAGTTGCTCTCAAAACGCTCAGAAAAGGGCGTTGCTTATTGGCTGAGGTCTGCTGAGTCCACTTTGGAGCCCTCCGATTGGCCGAAATTGGCGGCCGCGTGGTATCTTAAACTTGGTTAATCGAAAATGTATCCTTAATAGAAACAATGGGACCCTATGGGAGGCAGATCGTTAATCGAAGGCATCGTAAACCGAGGGACCACTGTAGTTGGAATCTGTACACCACAGTCTATCGGCAGGTCGCATGCCATGGGGTAAAGTGTGGGTACTCCTCCCCCCTCTTTTGAGATGTCTGGCCACCGTGGAAGAGCAGACAAAATACCCTTGAAAGGGATACTTGGCATGACCGTGTAATTGCAGGGCTGCTCCTTTGCTGTTTATAGATGAGTGTCAAATTGTTCCACTGATACTTGCATTTCCAAGAAAAGTTTTCCTGAAGTCTACCTCGCTTTGAAAAAAAAACATTGTAAAATGTGTGTACTACATTACTATTGTAAAACGAATTGGGTTACTAATTTATTGATGTATTAAGCAATAGATATTTTTTTATTAAATTAAGAAAATTCTATTAATTAATATTACGAATTACAATCTTATAACAAAGTAAACTAAATGTCTCGGCCTCGCTATGTGTTGCATTGTACCACTATTCGAGCAGATCAACTTCGTGTTAATAACACATACAGACTTTGCCAGGATGAACGTCAAATATTCCTATGCGTTTCATGAAGAACGAAGTAAAACTAGTGATGAACACTGCAGCATCATAACTTTCTGCTTAAATAACATCAATCTCAATAGGTATTGGATGGACCAAGCATCCAATACCTATGCTTGTTAATGCAGTTGATCTCGTTTGCATATGCTGCATGTTGCATGCAATGGAAGATAGCTTTGTTCTGGAAAGCTCATCTTGAGTGCTTTGCACCATGCAGTGATGCCACCCATTGCAGTTATCAGTGGCACCTCTGTGTGTATGACGTAGGCAGTTTGCAATATTAATTAGATGCTCTATAGCTTACAAGAGCATTGCCCAGTTTGGGAAGTATTCAAAATGGTGCAGACTCAATGGACTTCTTGGCAGCATGCTTGTAAACAAGGTTGTCACTTGGGGACGAATCTCATTGTCTAACTCGGGTTCTACGAGCCCAAAGGACTCCTTGGTGGTACATGGGCCACCGCCAAGTCGTAACAGGAATGCGGGATCCGAGAGCAACATGGTGTGCTTCAGCAGAGATGTAGGGATGGACCTAGTCCCGAGATTTGCTGGATTCTAATTAGTTGGAATGTAATTCCATTGCTCTGGATGCGTCGACTTCCTGATGCGTTCCACCCTGTTGCTGATGTAGATGTAGAATCTTCTGGTTTGGTTGTGTATGTATCCTAGTACGACCTTGATATCCATATAGAACTTGACAGCGTCTGGTTTAATATTCAATTCGTCCAAAATTAATTCCGCCAATTCTGTAGCTAGAACGGATCCACACAGCTCAAGACCACATATCTGCAGTGGGTCAAAACACTCAATAATTTTCACAAAAACGTATTTTTTTTCGTGATTTTTATTTTGGCGTTGCTTAGGAAACGTTAATGCACTTAGATAAAAAAAAACGGTGGGGAGTAACTTTTTTGATCGTTTTCAAATAGATGGCTTTCATCGATCACATCTCCTCATTAAGGTGTAGTCTTGTCATATATATAAATTATTTTTTAAGAAATCAATTGTGTATGCCCATGAAGTGAGTGTCCAACAGCAAGTGACAGACGACTGCTCAGCAAGGGTGGCAGTACGGTATGAAATTGGTTCTTAAATACGGTACGATATTACGGTACAATATCCTTTCATCAGGTACAGGTACGAAAGTAGAGTATTTTTTTACGTACCTTTTCGTACCCTATTCGTAATCGATCTATTAACTCAGGTAATCGATCTATTAAATAAAAGCTAAGCATCTGAATTTATTATAGTCATTTTACTCTCTTTTCTTTAAAGGCGACTACAAGAATGTAACACATTAGTTATCAAAAAACTAAAATGGCAGGCAAGATGATTTTCTCAAACCACATACCATTGATAACGGATGAGAATTTAAAGATTTTTTTCAACATTTCGAAATTATGCGATTTCAATATTTTTTGTGAATTCGAGAAAAAAATCAAACATGTGTAATAAAAGGACTCGAACACTTCTTTCTGTCTTCGTGTCTTTATTCAGGTTCACGTCTTTACCCACACGGCACTCTGTTATAACTCCTGTATTTGTAGCCCCCGGCTATTCACTGCTATTATAGCTTCCTCACCCCTCTGACTCTCTGCTTCATCTACTGTAACCTCCTCCCTGCAGACTTGCTGCTACCCCTATGTGCAGACCCTCTGGCTGTCACTGTATGCAGACCCGCTGCCCACTCTCTCTGTGCAGCCCCGCTGCTGACTGCAGCCTCCTCGCTGCTTCGGGTCGGTCACCGCTGGCCAACGGTGCCGATCCTCGCTCCCCCCGTGTTCGTGGCGATCTCGCCACACCCCTCTTCGCCCTTCGTGGCCTTCCTCTGTTCCTGTTTCCCCGTCACTCCCCCTGCTCTTCCGGTTCCCCTCCTTCTATACTCAACCCCTCTCCCCCCACGTGACCTAACTCCTCCCCCCCTGACGGCACCTCAGAAGGGCCGTTTACAACCGCATTACATCACCCTCCCCCCTAAAGAAAATCCAGCCGACCTCGGCTGAATTGCAACCTGAAAAGCAATGCGGGTGTAAAGGGCCAACACGCAAAAAGACACGAAGCATTGAAGAACATTATAACAATAACACAACACAACACAATCTAACGAAACGTGAGGGATTTCGAGCGAGTACGGGTAGCCGGGCCGTCCCGGACGGTCGGCGGCCCACCCGCCGAGCGGGAACGTGGAAGGGTTTTAGGGGCGACGGGCGCAAGTTCTTCCGTCGCCATTGGAGGCCCGCCACTGTCCCGCTCGCGTCCAGAAACATCCCGTACTCGCGTCCGCGGAGGGATAGGAAGAGCTGCAGGTCCCGTGGTTTCTGCGGCTCCGGTCGGCGTCCCACAAGCGGAAGGTCCTCCTCCCTGCGCTGTCACGGCCGGCTTGTCTGTGAAGGGTACGACAGGCGCTCTCGCAAGGTCAGCAGACACAGGCAAGGGCGAGTCGGCAGCAACAGACCCCGGCAAGGCAACTTGGGGAGATGACGCATCCGGCCGTGGGGCAATGTATGGCTTCAACCGGGACGTGTGCACGAACCAACGCCGTGCACCAACCTGAACACGCGCCGACTGTGGGTTAGGAACCTCAATGAGGCGGACCGGACCCTGCCAAGGTCGATGTAATTTAGGAGATGTACCTGGCCGCACCTGTGGGCAATGAAGCCAGGCCAGGTCCCCCTTTTTCCAGGGACACTCCCCCTTTGAACGTCGGGCACACCGCTCATTCCTGGCCTGAGCCTTGGCAGTAGCCATGCGGGCATTTTCCCTCGCCTCAGCGACACGCCGAACGTTGTCCTTAATATACTCAGGAAGAGGCTTAACAGGCCCCCTCGCACCGGTTCCCAACTGGTCATGAATCGGCGGCACGTTCTCACGGCCGTACATAAGGAAAAACGGCGAGTATCCAGTAGCCGCGTGCGGCGTCATGCGATACGCCGAAAGCACCCCAGGGATATGCAAATCCCAATCAGATTGGTTTTCCCCGACTGTATGGCACAGCATGGCGGACAGAGTCCGATTCAACCGTTCCACCATACCATCCGTTTGCGGGTGGTAGGGGGACGTCCGTATCTTTTTAGTTCCAAGAGCCGCACACACCTCCCCCAACAATTTAGACGAAAAGTTACGTCCCTGATCCGTAAGGAGCCTCTCAGGAGCCCCTTTGTCCATTACATACCCAAATAGAAAGGCGTCCGTGATAGACGCCGCTGACTGGTCAGGCAAGGGCCAGGCCATCGGCCAGCGAGAGAGGTACTCCACCCCCACCAGTAAATACTTATTCCCTTTAGCTGATGGCGGAAAGGGTCCCAAAATATCTAACGCCACCAACTCATTAACCCGAGATACTTTAATCGATTGTATCGGCGGAACATATGGATGTTTAGGCGGCTTACGGCGGGCACAATCGGGACACGCGCGAACGTGACCGACGACATCCGTCGTCATGCCGTGCCAATAATAGTCTCGTTGCAGCGTCAATAGGGTTTTCTGCACCCCCAGGTGTAAAAGTGTGTCACAGTGCAAAGATCGAATCAACTCATAGCGCAATGACGCAGGCACAACGAGACGCCAGTGTTCCTGTATCCCTTCCCTCCACATCAGTAACCCATCTCGGAGAGCAGTTTCCGAATTACCACCCGCACCGACTTCCTTACCCGCCTTCTCCGTTCGTTTCCGTAACGACACCAAAGAATCGTCCAACATTTGCTCCCGAATCCACACAGACCTTGGAAGACGCAAAATCCCGTCAGCCGGTCCCCCTTCAACCGGTCCCGGTGTAAGCGGAGGTTCGAGAACATCCACTGCCCGCGCGACAGGTTGAGGGGGGGGCTGAGCCGGTCCACACCTATGCGTCCCCGACGCACACGCACAAGGGGATTGTTGCGGCAACCTGGACAGTGCGTCCGCGTTAGCGTGACGCACACCCTTCCGATGGTGAATTTGGAAGGAGAATTCTTGCAACGTGTCCAGCCATCTCGCCAATTGTCCGGATGGCTGGTCCATCTTAAGAGCGTACTGCAAGGCCGCATGGTCCGTTCGGACAATAAACGACCGACCGTACAGATACGGTCGAAATTGGCGGAGAAAATACACAATAGCCAAAAGTTCCCTGCGAGTGACGCAGTAACGAGTTTCCGCGGGAGACAAAACCCGACTCCCGTACGCCACCACACGCTCAACACCACCTTTTGACTGGGACAACACCGCCCCAATCCCGGTGTCACTCGCATCAGTATCCAGAATGAAGGGATGTTCAAAATCCGGATAATCCAACGTCGGCGCAGTAGCCAGTAGGTCGCGCAGGCTCCGAAACGCTGCCTCCTCCGGCGGTCCCCACACAAATTTGTGCCCCTTCCCAGTAAGGAGATGCAAAGGCCTGGCGATAGTAGCGAAATTCGGAACAAACCTCCGGTAATATGAGGCGAACCCCAAAAACCGACGCACATCACCCACCGTGGCGGGGGTTGCCCAATCCCGGACACACGCAGTTTTCTCTGGATCCGTGGCCACCCCGTCCGCACTAACAATATGTCCCAAGTATCGAACGGAACGTTGCAGTAGATGACATTTCTTAGGCTTGAATTTCAAATTAGCAGAACGCATTCTGGCAAAAACGGCCTCCAACCGCAATAAATGCTCATCAAATGTGCGGCTGAAGACAATAATATCATCTAAATAAATGAGACATGTCTCCCACTGCAACCCCGTCAATACCAACTCCATCAATCTCTGAAAGGTGGCAGGGGCTACATTCAACCCCATCGGCAGACAGTTAAATTGGAACAACCCCTGCGGCGTACGGAACGCTGTCTTTTCCCGCGAGGGCTCGTCAAGGGGAAGCTGCCAGAAGCCCGAAGAGAGATCTAGCGTTGAAAAAAACTTAGCCCCTGACAAGGCGTCGAGAGAATCGTCCATACGCGGCAGGGGATACGCATCTGCCACCGACACTTTATTTAACTTCCGAAAATCCACACAAAATCGTAATTTACCATCTTTCTTTTTAACCAACACGACAGGCGCACCCCACGGGCTATTAGACGGAGATATAATATCCGCTTTCAACATGTCTTCCACTGCCCCTCGAACGTGCTCACGCTCAGCCGGACTCATCCGACGCGAGTTCAAGCGGATAGGGGCCGCGTCCCCCGTTTCGATGTGATGAGAGAGCAGCGAGGTGCGTCCCAAGTCCAAATCGTCCGAGCTAAACACATCGGAATAGCTCGCTAATAATTTATGAATCGCACAACGCTGCTCAGCGGAAAGGGCCGAATTTTCCGCACATAATTCGGCGATCCAACGATCGTCCACCCCTCCGTCGTGTGAAACACCACCCACCAGCCCCCCGTCCGGAATGTCACTCTGAGCCGTAAACGCCGTAGTGGCGTGTGCCACAACGGTACCAGCCGGCACACACACGCTTTCAGAAGTCGCATTTAACACCTGCAAAAACGGGCGCTGATCCGGACGGACAATGGTTTGCGCCCCCACCAGTGCCAATCCGCCCGTAACAGCGGCGGACGGCGACAGCAAAATTCCACAAGCACTCTGCCGACCCGGAACCGGCTTCCGGTATCGTAGGGGAATGAGCATCTGCGAGCCAGGTGGAATATCAACTGAAACTTCCGATAACGCCTGCACCTGGGCAACCGGAGCCGGTCGCCCCCAGGTGGACTGTAAAAACGCCAATTTGCGGCCCCCTGGCAGTTCAATGCAATTTTCATTGATTCTAATTAAAATGGGCATCTTAGCCAAAAAATCCGTGCCCAACAAGCAAGGAACCGCCAGGGACCTCGAAATTAACACAACGCCCGAGGCCGAGACCCCCCCGATAGAAATATTAGCGTCCACCTGTCCCACGATGCCCATACTACCCCCGTTCGCAGCGATGCAGGAAGCGTAAGCCGGCCTCACGGCCCCCGGTGGGATGTTCAAAAGATGGAATATGACATCCGAAATAATGGTCGCGGACGCCCCGGAATCCACCAAAATACGCACGTCCACCCCTTGGATCGACCCCGGTACAGTGGACGAACCTGTAGCGGCCGCGACAACCCGCCGAGCCAACTTACGCCACTGCGTTATCGAGCGACAAGGCGCAGATACTGGCCTCCCATATTTTAGAACATCCGCGTCGCACAACAACGGCGATGAGTGAGGTGTCAGGCCTTGCCGGGTGTCTGGTGCGCACCGACTTGCCTGTGCCGGAGGGTCTTTCTTTGGGACGTCCGCGATCGAGGCCTCCTGCTGGGGCGGCCCCGGAACCCGGGCCCAGCAGTCCCTGGCATAGTGGCCCCGACGGCCGCAGCGGAAACAGTCGACGTCGGGTCGGCGCGCAGCAGGCACCCCGTCCCGACGTGGCCGCGCCGGCGGCGGAGCCCGCGGCCCCGACTCGCTTCGAGCCGGCCACGGAGTGGAGGCGGCCGACAGCTCCTTTGGGCCGGTCGCATCCGGCACGTACACGGCCTTTGTAGGGTCCCACCCTACGGCCCCCCCATCGACGACAGGACCGCCCGTCCACGCCGTGACTTGTTTCCAGCGGCGGAGATTGAACTGGGCGTCCAAACACTTAGCCGCGGTCCGGGACGTGAGTTTCTCGTGACCGCAAGCCGGCATAGGAATGCCCAGATCCCGGGATAACTCCAACATCTTCCCCAAGATGAGAGGTTCCAGCAGGTCAGGCTCCGTCTCCGGGTAAGCGGCCATCGCGAGTTCCAGCACGGCGCCCCTGTACGCTACAGGCGACTCCTCCGGTGCGCGTTGCCGCTGCACGAAGCGGCGATGGGCGTCATCCGGTGGCTCGTACGCGTCCGCCATTTCGTCGAACACTCCACGCAATGTTTTCTTCTTCGCAGCTTTTATAGAGCGAAAAAAACGAACAGACTCATCGTCAAGGAGAGTCGGAAGCACCTCCAGCGCCTCGGCGTCCGTCCACCTTGCCGTTCGTACCGCCGCCAAAAATCGACAAGC